AGAACCCCTTGCAGAGAGGTAAGCTCGCTCCAGAGAGCCCTGCGCTTAATAAATGCCTTTTAGTGCTGTTGCTAAAGGTTTTATTTATTGGCTGTGAGGCTGAAGCTACTGATGGCGGTGTAGCCCGGTGAGCGGGGAATGAGGATAATTACCAGGAAACTATTATGTGGCCTTGAGCAAAACTGCTCTCCCTTCTTGGCCGGTTGTGCTGCAGATCTCGCAAGGAGACCTCATTCCTCACTGTGGCTGAAAGGGGGAAGTGGCAGAGTGAGTGTTTTCCTGGCTGGAGGCTAGCACCAGAGTGTGTCCACAGGGCTCATGTGTGGGACCTGGATGCGTCTCGGAGGCCCTTCTGGACCTTAAGTCTGTTTATTTTATTTTTTTTTAATTATTTTTTCTAGCAAACCACGGTGAATATTAATTGTAGAGACTCCTGTCTGGTAACGTTGCCCTGAATGTGGTTTATTCGGCACGTTGTGCAGCGCCTGCTTATTGCTTCTGTAACGCGACAGCAAAACACGTAACCAAAAAAGTGATGCAAAAACCCCACGGAGCTGAACTCCTTCACAAACATACCTTTTCCACACCCATGCGTGTCTGCAGCCTCTCAGCTTGCCAACTGTGTATGCATTGCACCATTCGGCCTGCCTTGCACCTCTGCTCTGGTTCCTCCTGTGCTTTATTCCAGGTGTGAGGTTGCCTTCAGCCTCCTCTCACAGCTTTCCTGCTGGTGGTGATGTTTCCTCTGGCAGGTTTGGGACCCCGTGTGTTGTCCTGGGGTGCTGAGAGGTAGTGCAAATGTTGGTTGGGGTCCTGTGTACCTGGGAGCCCCACCAACAAGCAGTGAGATGCGGCAAAGTTTTTCAAGGCACTGAACGAGACATTGGAATAACTCACTGCTACTTGGTGTATTCAGTGTCTCAGAAGAGCACAAAGAATTTAAGGAAAACAAACAAACAAAAAGCCAAAACCAACAAGCACACGCACACAACCCCCTGCTCAGGACTGCAGGATCTGTTTCAGATGAATATCTGAGTTCTTCAACGGGGTAAAGTTCTTGATTTATTAATTGCATTTCATGAAAGCTGCAACTCCAAAACAGAAGTCTAATCCTGGTAGATGCTTCTTGTCTTCTATGACTTCATTTGTAGCTGCAGCTGGGAGACTTCTTATAGTGTATTAGCATGCTGACATCTTTTCTTGCTCTTCTTTCATGGCATTTGGGAGGATTACTCCGTTTTGTTTACTCTTACGGAGAATTTTGGAGGTGCACTCGGAGTTTGTGGTCTCATGGCTTTCTCCTAGGTCAGCTTTAAAATAGCAAAGCAGCACCCCTCCTCCTTCAAACAACCCCAAAATCTTCAACTGAAATACATTCCCGCAAAGTCGTGATTAGGAATTATGGTCTGCTTGACCATAGTCAAGGTCTAGACGTCTATTTTAGTCTCACAACCAGTGTAAGACTGACTTTTGAGTGCTTGATTTTGTCCAGCAGGTTTTCTTCTCCTTCTCCTCCTTTTCCTTTTTTTTTGTTTTCTTTTTAATTGTAGGTGGTAACTTTAAAAAGTACATACGCTTATTACTGAAAATGGTGATAGAAAAATAATCCGCTTGCCATTTTAGGAGGGGAAATATATGAGGATGTAGAGATAGGATTCAATAAAAACTTTGACGGCTGTCCAGGACACAAGGAAGGCTTCATTTCTTTGAAGATGTGGAAAATTACAGTTCAGCTGGAAACCTCAGTGAAAACCAATTGGCAAGTATTGTTTATCAGAAGTGCTGACCAAATGTGAACTTCAGGTCAGGTCGCTGGGTGGTAGCTGCCGAAAGCCACGCGGTGGGGTTAGTTGTAGAATGGGTTGAGTTAGAGGCATCACCTTAGCCCGATGTTGGTGGAGGCTTTGTTTGTGTCATGGAAATACGGAGGAATGTGCATGTTGGTTTTGATGCGTAAAGTATGTGCTTAACGCGTGCCTGAGAGCCTGGGAAAATCGTCCAGCCTTAACATAAAGCAGAGGTGCGTGATTTGGGCACGTCTTAGAAACCGAAGATACAGAAGGAATTGGGGTGAGCAGGGAAAATAAAAATTGATTCCTGCTCTCCCAGTGTGTACCCTTCCCTCCAGATCTTTAGCTGTCTGAAAACCGGGAGCGCTTTTAAAAAAAATATTGATTGTAAGTGCAATTACATTTTTATGGTTATTCTGTTCTTTAATGATGAGTGCAGACTTGTCCAATTCCCATGTTCAAGTTGGTCTGGAATCTCTTGAGGCTGAACAAAACGTTTACATGTGTTTTCTGTTGGATTTAGGCATGGCATTCCTCAGTTCTGGTATGTCTCCTGTATAATAGTTTAGGAATACCAAGTTCGTGTTCAACCTCTATTTCCGTAATTAAATGCTTTGTTGTAATGGCTTCTCAGCTGCTCACTTTATTGTAATGAAGAAAGAACCAGAACAGCCTTCCTCCTGCAGAGCAGCAGTCTCTCTGTTATCGTGTGAGATGGATATGAAGCTCTTTTGGTCAGGTATTGGTCTTAAACATCTCACTTCTGATGACTTTGTCAGTGGATCTGTTTTCAGCCAGGTATAATCACCCCAACAGTGTTGAAGAACACAGCAGATAAGTTGGTAAGAGCTGTTGAAAGATTTGGTGGGCTGTTTTTACAGGTCTACAAAGGAAGGGGGTGAGGGTAGAGGCACTGGAACTAGAGAAATGCTACTGGGTGTCCCTGGGAGATGCCTCCAGGTGCACAGAATATCAAGGTAGGATGTAGTAAAAAAATCTGATGTTGAAATCATTTCCAGCAGACCTCAGGAGATGAGCTTTCTCGTGGTCAAAATCCACATGGGAACAGAGGGACCTGACTTTTTTCTCTGACAAAGGAAAGGGAATTGCTTGGGGTTCTGAATAAGATTTTATTTCATCTTGTGACCGTTTATAGTGGTCTGTCCTCCCCAGCTGCTGCATCTTACAAGAAGCAGTTTTTACATGAAGGAAAAACCAATTCTTCAGGTGAGCCATGTCATGAGTGTTATGGAGGGTCCTCGTGGCAAGCATTAATTGTATTTTACTTGCAAAGTGTCACTTTGTGCAGTACCGTGCTTGCCTGCCTGGAGCACCAGGATTTTATACAGTGCTTAAGGAACATCTTTATCAAAGAAGACAGTTGCACCTTCTGCTTCTCTGGCTCTCTGTCAGAAAAGATGGATGGTAGCTACTGTTTTAATGCAAGCAGCCAAAGGTTTGATAACGTGCAACGGTGAAGGTCAAAGCTGGGTAAATGCACCCTGGCGGCATGGGAGTGGAGGAAATGAGCTACTGGAACAATCCAGCGAGATCTGTGGTGGACATTGCATCATCCCAGGAAAACCCTTAAAACGACTCATTTTGTATAAAAGCTTTATGTTCCAGTACAACCACAAGTACTGACCTTGAAGCAGGTATTAATTAGTGGATGACTCCTCGTCTGCCTTGTTCAAGGTGTCAGACTGCCTGACTATGGTGATCTCTTAAAACTTGATGCCTATAGGAGTAATAGATTCATACTTCGTGTTTTTCTTCTTGTGGCAAAGACCAAATGAAAAAAAAAAAAAAAAAGAAGAGTTTAAAGAAAAAATAAGTTGAGCGCAGCTCAGGGAGCCAAGGGCTTTGTTCTGATTTTGACTCTGATAACACTCGCTGGGTGGCCTTGGGCAAGTTATTAATCCTCAGGAACCACAGTTTGCCAATTTGTCCGATCTGGATAACTTCACTCGCCTAATAGGACGTGTTTTTAACATGCCGTTAATGTAAACGTGTAATAATTATCAGCTTCTTATGACTACTCTGTTTATGACGAAGGAGAATATTTGTATTTAGAGCGGATGCCCATTTTCCAGACCTACTTCATTTAACTCCTGGGAGATGTTTTGACTCTTCAAAAGAGGATTTTTCTTGACTTGGGGCCACCGCTGTGGTACTCTGTCCCGCCAAGTTCAATGTTCTTCTGGATAGAATAAAATGTGTTTATGGATTTTGATGAAACTTGGAAATTCTTGGATTGTTAATCTTGCTGTTTTACGGGAAAATGAATCAAGTTCTGACTCACGGAGGAGGACTGACCTTGGGGCAGAGGGGAGCGTTGTACACACCCCAGCTTGGGTTACCAGGAAAGGATTTTGGGCAGTTTAAAGGACATCAGTTACTCTTCTCGTTTAAATTGAACTTTTACTATAGTTTATGTTTTAGTTTAAATGTTCACAATATCTCCAAGGTCACCAAACCAAACCCTAATGGTGCGCACTGGGTGGTAGTCTTCTCCAGATGTTTCCTCAAGGTAGAGAATCAAGTCAAGGTACAATGCTGATAATTTTCTCATCCGATAGGCTTTCAAATTCTGGCATTTCTGCAATACCAGTTGAATGTTTTTGAGTATTTCCTAACTGCAGCTCCTAGGAAAAACCCCTTCCTTGCTCCTCTGTTTGGGTCTGTGTGCCATGTTCAGTCTTGGGGCAATCCTGTAGATGTGTGCTAAAGGATCTCCGTGTTCCCTGCAGAGCCTGGCAGCCCCTTTTGTCCCTTCTAACCCTTCAACCACCAAACCTTTGCTCTGCCCCAGCTGCTTTCCCCGTCAGGTTGTGCTGTGCTCTCATCTCTGGGGGCTTTGAGCACAAGGGCTGCCCAGTTCCTTCAGCTTCTCCTGGTCTTTTGAGTCCCAGGCTGGTATTTCACCTTTCCATTCCCTCCTAACCTTTAGATGTTTCCGAAGTGCATCCCCATGCCCAGTCCATCCAGGTTTATTATCTACAGATATAATTTTCCATCTTACCCAAGACTTTAAATTCCCTCCAAGTTTGTAGCCTTCAGTTGGCCAACACCTCAACATGGTGCCACCGGCAGGTTTCGGTGCCCCGTACTTCCACTCTCCGTGGCTTTTGTTTCCTGTCTGCTTGCTCCATCTTCTGTGCTTTGTTGTTGTTTCCTCTCTTTTAATGTGTGTTTCCTTCATTTCCTAAGGATTGCAGATACAATCAGTGGAAAATAATTGCCAAGATATTCTTCAGTCTTCTGCTCTCTCCAAGTATTAAGGTACTTTGCACTTGATATGCCTATCCTTTTAAGTAACTCTTTGATAATAACACTACCTAATTTCAAGTCTACCTCTGGCTTTCTTTGGAGTACTTGCTCTGATTTTTGTGGCACTAACCTGCAAATCTGGGTGCCTTGGCTGAGCACTTGGAGCTCACTAACTTCTGCAGTGGTAGAAGAAATCAGTCAAGTCCTGCCTCCCATTGCAAAACCCCCAAATTTTCCGGTGTGGTCATCTGCTGTGGTCTGCCAGACCCATTTCTCACCAGCTTTCTGGACATCAGAACTAAACCCAATATATTAGGAGATGTTATAACGACATTTCCACGCTCATACACCTACCTTGTGCTATCTACTGAATAAAAAAAGGCTGACTGTGCTGCCTGCCGTTTCTCTTCTGGTAGCAGTGCAAGAGGATGAATGTTCTGCATGCCTGTGGTAGGCTTCCCTCATTTAGCAGTGCAGAACTGAGGTCTTACTGAGCAAATTTTCTTGCAGTTCTGCATTTTGGGGAGGTGGGGTTGTGGAAATACACCCCTTCCTTCTCCTTTGGAATGTTTTACTCTCTATGTGCTTAAAAAAAGAAACCTGATGATGATTTCAACCGGCCATTGATTTCTTCACGTATCCTCTTGCTTCCCATGTCACTTATCTATACGTCCTAACACCAGATTTTTGTTTGTTGGCCTCTTTTTCTGTTTATTCCATTTGTCATGTTCCTTTTTTTCCTGCCTTTATAGCTTCCTTAGCTTCCATCTGAGCCAGGTTGCCTTTTAACTAGTGTGGCCGCCTTTTTCAGTTGTGGCGTTGTGGCTTTTTGAGCATCTAGTTAAAATGTTCTTAAACAATTTTCAATTAGTCTTCATATTTTTCTGATTACATTCCTTTTCCCAACTGATTTGGCTCGTAATTGTTTTCAGCTTGGTGAAACTGGCCCTTATAAAAGTGTGTGTATATATGTGTGCATGTATACATGTGTGCGTGTGCTATTGGTAGTGATAATGGGTTTTATTCTTAATTGAATTTTTTCTTTGTTGGCGTATAAATGTGTGTCGTGGTGACTTGCATTTTATCAAAAATAAGTGGGATAAAACACACATGCCTGTTTAAAAACTCACCTTGGCTCTGTTTCGAAATGGAGACCAGCACGCGGGTGCTGGCTCTGGGGTTTGTTGGCATGAAGCAAATGGTGCTTTCCTAGCCACGTGGCATAAATCTGCAGCCCTTCGATGTCTGAACAACCCCAGAGGTCGGTGCCTGCTTTGCTTGGGAGTGATTTAAGGAGATAAGTGCTGACTACACACCAGCTTCAGAAGTGGCGCTGTCTGCATCGGAGTGGCATGCCCAAGGGCCCAGGAGGACAGGAGGAGGTAGTGTTGAGCCCTGCAAACCTGGTGGAAGAGGAGGAAAGGACATCTTGTGCTCGTGCCTCTCACCCCAACCCATCACTGCCTGCGGTGGGAAGGTGGAAATCTCATGTGAAGGACACAGAGAAGTGAAGGAAAGCACGAGGTACTGCAGAGGGTCAGCCCGGCATGGCTGGAGGCTGGTGGGAGTCAAGGAACGGTCACTTGGAGGTCTTTTCTGTTCCCTTCATGGCAACGTGGAACCAAACAGGGCACAGATAAAACTTGCAGAGGAGCAAACAGGAGAGGGAGGAGAACCAGGGTGCAGCAGCACCACGTGGCGGGAGGGCAGGTGGAGCTCCTGGGCTCCTCTTCCACCACCACAGCCTCGGTGAGAGGTCCTGCACCGGCAACGAGCGTCTTTCTGGAGCCTTGCATGACAGATAACGCCTTGGTTGGATCGAGTCAGCAGCACAGGGACTTGTTCAGAGGCTCTGATGGGAGGGACCGTCCCAGATTACCCCTCGGATGACCTTTTGCTTGAGCTGGATGGAAGTGATCAGCACCGCGAATGTAAATGATCAGCAGTTGGGCTCCATCTGCAGCTGGTTAATTACCCGTTCACACAATATGTTGTTAGGGGTCATCTGTTTCCAGTTTCATCATAAACAGAAGTAAATGTTGAGAACATATTTTTCTACATCCAGTTTCACTTGTTGTGGATACTTGAAATAGTTTGCAACCCACATCTTTTGGTTTTTGAGGAGGGCTTTTGGCCAGAGAACCCTGCGACCATTTGAGATTTTTTTTTTAAAAAGTGCCCCGGAGGTTGCATTGTAGGGACTTTCCTTATGCAAAACATAAAAGTGCTGTTTTTTCAAATTATAACCATATTTTTCATTAAAATCAGTTGGAGTCCCAATAAACAATCGACTCCGAGAATTTTCCAAATGTTTGCTGCAGTGCTGTTTCTATTTTTAATTATTTTTTAAAAACGTGTTTTTCTTAAAGTTGCAGCCTGGCTTATAATTTAAAGAAGCGATCTAGTAAATCAGAAAAAATGTGCAAGTATATGGCTTTTTATTGCACTATAATTAAAACCTACTGGAGATTCCAACGTGAGGATACTTCTGTAGGAGCATCCGATGATTCCTTCCATTTGGCTTATCATGGGAACTTTCTTTTTGTTGCCGACTCTCCTCAAAGATCCCTCCAGTGTGATTATACATTTGTTTTATATAAATTGAGGGCTGTGTACACGTAGAGACGCCAGAAGCTCTGCGAAGTAGCTGTGAGGCACAGAAGTGCCTGGTTCATAGACACCAAGGCACGGTTTCCTCACTGCAGCAGTCTTTGGTCGTTTTTAGTTCTTATTCACAGGTTTTATTTGGTGTCTGGCTACCTAGTACAAGATTTGTTTGCTGTCCTAAGAGGAAGCAACCAAACAAAGCAACAAAACAAACCTAACAAACAAACCAACAGAACAAATAACTCCAGTTTTGGTTCAGAAGTTGTCATACCTGCTTTATACAAAGCAAGTAAAGATCTCTGCAAGATATGTGGGATAATTTTTGTTGTTGAAATCTACTCATAGCCGGAGATAGAAGAGTGCTGAGGCATATTCTGGCACTGTTTCTGTAAAATCCTAAGTGTCTGAGGGAAGTCCTCCTTTCCAGAAAGCACCAGGCCCTGGGAGAACACCATGGAGATATAGGAGGGCTGTTGATAGCCTCCCAAATGTAAAAAAATATGTTGAGAGGAGATGGCAGACTGTAATTTGGAGTTCACCCATCTTTTTTGTGCCACAGGCTTTGCCACCGATCGATCCTGCATCACCTCATGAAGGCCATGCAGGCCGTTGGCGCTGGGTAGGCCGGCGGCCTAGACCGCAGCTTTCCTGCAGGCAGGGCGCCTGGGTCTGAGGGTTTGAGCAGGACTTGCTGCTTGTTGGGGGTCAGTCTGAGACAGAGCCTTTGGATTTGGGCTTTTTTTTCATATCTGTGAACCTTCTCAAAGCTACTGGTGGATAGAGGCCGTGCCTCTGTGCGCAGGGCTTTCTTCGGGGGTTCGGATCACGGCGGGCACCCCAGCAGGTCGCTGTGCTTTGGTTGGGCTCCACCGAGTCCAAGGTCATTTTTTTTTGTGGGAAGTGGTTTGAAAATGACCTAAAAAGTCTCTTTTCTTTGGAGACAGTCTGACGCTGAATAGTTACTTGTAGTTGGAAGGGAGTCAGCACTGTGGCAGTGCGGCAGCTGCCCTGCGCCTTTAGCACCTCTCACGTCCCAGCTGAACCCAGGTTGCCTTGAATAATGTCAGGACACCACCAGTGGGAGGAAAGGAAAAGGAGTTTTTTCTTGTTAGCCGAAGGAGGTCTGTGCACTTTGGATGAAGGAACTTTTTGTATGGTGGCTCTCCCACCTGTTGCATTGCTATGGCACTGGTTTCCTATAGATAGCACTTAAATAAATAAGACATTTCTTACTCCTAGGAACAGATTCTCCTGAATAACTATGTTGTATTTGCTGCCTGGTCATCAGCTCAGAAGGGCTAAACTTGGGAGACACTGGCAATAGTTCCTAGTTCCTCTGTGGTTGACCCAATTTTGTCTCCCAGCCTCTGCAGTTTCCACAGGCCTCTTGGGGATCCAGCTGCTCTGCTCAGCAGGTGCAACACTTGCTGATAAGGATGTGAAATTTCTGCTGGATGTTAACATGTTTTCTTGTTTTTGAAGCACACAAATGGCAAAGCAGGATCCTGGGTCTGAGTCCTCAGCTGGATGCAACATTTCAGCTTGCGTTTAGGTCTCTTTGCTGGAGAGCGACAGCTTTAATCTACTCAGTAAGAATCTGCAATTATTAACAATATTTATTACCCCGGGAATGGGTGAGGGTCCGGTGCAATCGGTGTTGGATTTCTGGGAAGGACCAAGCAGTCTTTGTGAGCAGAAGTTTTTTGGGTCAGTTTGAGTACACGATGCGTGACTTCCATACCTCGAAGCTTGCTGATGGCCAGGAGGTCTGCAGGAATTTGCTGTGGTCTTCTTGGAGTCTTCCTACCCCCTGGGTTAAATAAAGGATCCTCATTGCTGAAGTACCACTGGTACCCATTGCTTTAGCCCAGCTGCCTCTGGCTATAAATGTATCAGGGGAGTTTTGCTGTTGTCCTCTCCGTTGAGAGGACAATTGCTTTTATTTGCTGATCCTGCTAAGCAGTGTTATCTTCCTCCTGGCTCTCTAAGTCCTGGGCACTGAGACTTCTCAGAAGACCTCCCACAAGGATGGCTGTTGTGTCAGAGCCACTGAAGGGCCTTTCTTGGTGGCTCCATTCAGAAGATGAATGGTCTTCTGAAGTTTCTGCGAGCAAGAGTTGGGTGACTTCTCAGACTCTGCCTTAACTTCTTTCCCCTTTCAGCCTATGTTTCTTTTATTGTTTGTCCTCTAAAGCCTTTATGCTGGACGGTCTTGACAGAATTAGGAGTGAAATCTCTGCCGGAAGCCCTACAGAAGAATAGAGATCCATTTTGCTTAGAGGGCCTTGGGAGGAACCTGAGCTGGCTGCTGGGATGAGATTGGTATCTCTCTCACCACGTCTTCATTACTTGTTGCTGAGTTCTTAATCACGCTTTGCTGAGGAGACTAAACAATTTCCTAAGAG